TGTCAGACCAAAGGTCCATCTAGCCCAGTATCCTGTCTTCTGACAGTGACCAATGCCAGGTACCCCAGAGGAAATGAACAGAATAGGTAATCATCAAGTGATCATTTCCCTGTCGCCCATTCCCAGCTTCTGGCAAACAGGTTAGGGACACCATCCCTGCCCATCCTGACTAATAGCCATTGATGGACTTATCCTCCGTGAATTTATCTAGTTCTTTTTTGAACCCTGTTATAGTCTTGGCCTTCACAACATCCTCTGGCAAGGGGTTCCACAGGTTGACTGTGCATTGTGTGAAGAAATACTTCCTTTTGTTTGTTTTAAACCTGCTGTCTCTTAATTTCATTTGGTACCCCCTAGTTCTTGTGTTGTAAGAAGGAGTAAATAACACTTCCTTGTTTACTTTCTCTGAACCAGTCATGATTTTACAGACCTCAATCATATCCCCCCCACTTAGTCGCCTCTTTTTCAAGCTGAAAAGTCCCAGTCTTATTAATCTCTTCTCATACAGAAGCCATTCCATACCCCTAATAATTTTTGTTGCCTTTTTCTGAACCTTTTCCAATTCATATATATCTTTTCTGAGAAGGGGTGACCACATCTGCACACAGTATTCAAGATGTGGGCATACCATGGGATTTATATCGAGGCAATATGATATTTTCTGTCTTATCTATCCCTTTCTTAATGATGTCCAACATTCTGTTGGCTTTTTTGACTGCCGCTGCATCTGGAGTGGATATTTTTCAGAGAGTTATCCACAATGATTCCAAGATCTCTTTCTGGAGTGGTAACAGCTAATTTAGATCCCATCATTTTATATGTTCATTTGGGATTATGTTTTCCAATGTGCATTATTTTGCATTTATCAACATTGAATTTCATCTGCCATTTTGTTGCCCAGTCAACCTAGTTTTGAGACTACTGCATGCAACTCGGGTTAAAGGGGCAATTTATAGCATTGTACCTGCTGCCTATTGCAAATGATTTTCGCAGGGGATCAGCCCCCACAACTGGGGCCAGATTTTTAAAGAGCCCAGCTCCTACTTAGACATCTAACTAATGGCACAATTTTCAACAGGGCTCAGCACCCAGATGGATTCACAGGAGATCAGCATCCAATGAGCATCTAATGCTCCAAGAACTTGTAAACACCTATCCCTTATTTAGGCGGTTAAGGGTAGTTCCCAGCCCGGGTAGACAGGCATGCGCTAGCTCTGCTCGAACTAGTGTGGTGAAAATAGCAGAGTGGCCACAGCAGCGAGCGTGGTGGCTCAGGCCAGCTGTGCAAGAACGTGTCCAGGAGGTCGGCAAAACCAACGAGGAGTCCTATAATTGCATTCAGGAGGGTAGCTACCGTGGCCACACGGCTGTCTTTCAGTGCGCTAGCTTGGTCAGCTACTCTCCCCGCTGCAATGTAGAAATGGGAGCTGGGCTCTTCTGAAAGTGTGGCCCAAACCAGGGGTGATGAACACTTGAGAAATGGCTTTTAGGGGGTAATTTATCTCCCTGTTGCCTCAGTAATTTATCCACCACTGCACCTTATTTGTTGACAACATGATAGTGAGCAGTAATTTGGGACCAGATTCTCAGCTCCACTGAAGCCAATGAACTGACGCTGATTTACGCTACTTGAGAATCTGGCCCTCAGAGGTCTTTAAAGGAATCCTGAATGCTCACAGTATGGCTCACTTGAGAAATGAGACCAGGAAATCCCTGTGGCTGGATTTCCAGAGTCCAGAACGGCTCAACCTTTGTCACCTGCCTCCACACTGTACTGTTTCTGATCCAGCATTCTAGCACACCCCAACTTCCCATTGATTCAAGTGGAATAGTGCTGGATGCACAAGGAACACAGGATCTGGTCTTGTTAGCCCAGAGTTTGAGGGGCAGTAAGGGCCATCCTGGGGGTACTGCAAATACTTCATGCAGCACAATATACCATGATTAATCCCCTGATTGGTGTGGCTTTGATATCTGTGCATGTTGTTTAGCTCCTTATTCCTAATAATAATTCTAAACTCATCATGAGAAGATCCCCATGTGCTTTACAAAGGAGGTGAGTAATGCTATCCCCATTTTACAGATGGGGAAACTGAGGCACGGAGAGGCACAATGAATTACCCAAGATTACCCAGCAGCTGAGCTGAGACTAGAACCCAAGTCACCAACCAGTGCTCTATCTACTAAGCCACGCTGCATAATGGATATTTAGTAACTGATACAATTTCTCAATGTCTCTGGTTTGTGCCACAACGTTTAGTTTGTTTCACATTGCTGAACAGTAAATTCCAGTTTCTGCAGTTATTTCATGGATTGTTCTGCTTCAGTTTTACTCTAAGCAGCCACTGGCTACAGATGAATCGCGGGGAGCAATTTACACTTCCTTAGTAACCAAAAGCAGGAAGAGAGAACTGAAAAAGCAAACAGCCCAAGCACTGTGCTAGCTGAACAAACAAAACAAAAGCGTCAAAATAAGTGGGCTGAAACTGACCACAGCAGCAAGTGCAACTTTCCGAGGAGCCAGTTCTGATCTATTTTAAAACGACTGGCCCTTTGCAGCAAACACGGCTCTTTGTCCTGCAGCCTGTTGTTTTTTAAGACCGGTTTCAATTTGTTTTCATAAAACATAATGTAGAAATGAAATCAATCAGAACTATCACAGTAACTTTGTCTTTGTCTTGGCTTTTAATAGACGTTTACAGGGGAAGAGGAAGGGTAAAAAGAATCTGTATCACTTAAGTGTGACGGGGGGAAACAGTCTTTCATATATGCCCAAGTGACTTAGGTGCCTAACTCCCATTGATTTTCAGAAGATCCCTAGGCACCTAGCTGCATCTTTAAGCAACTAAATACCTTGAAATCTAGTTCTTCTGAGCCTAGATACCATTGAAAGTCAGTGCCCTTACTGCACACCTTACAGTCTACTCTCCTGCCGACAAAATATGACCCCCCCAAACGAGGCAGTGTAGCTTTGTGGGCGGGAGAGCGTCTCCCCCTGACAAAGCACTGTCTACACCTGTCCATACCTCAATCACTTTTGAAAATGAGGCTTAGACTCCTAAATAATTTAGGTACTTGTGCCCCAATGTGGCTACATATCTGTTATAGCTAGGACTACAATTTTATCATGGCAGTTGTTAATAAATTTTAGGCAGAGGTACAGGACAATCACCATAAGAAAGGGAGGGAGCAGGGTATGCGGGGTCGGAGGTGGGGGTTGGAGATCGAGACCATCCTGCAGTGCTGCGAGGCTGAGCCTGGCTCAGGGCATTGCGATCTGACCCAAAGCTCTGTTAATCTAGCTCTGTATTTATATATGCTCACTACCCTGCTGCAAAGTAGGGAGGAATTTGCCCCATTTTTCAGCTGGGGAATGGAGGCCCAGAGAGACTTGGGGTGACAAGTTCAAAAGCGTCTTAAGTGTCTTGAGAGGCAAAGTCTCACTTTCAACGGGGACTAAGGCTTGAAAGTCATTGGGATGTAACTGACCAGTCCTAGGTCACACATGGAGCCTGTGGCAGAGCAGGGGTTTGAATGGAGGACCCCGACTGTCTAGCTAGCACCTTGACAACCGCACCGTCCTTCCTCTCTTTAAGTATGTGCTTAATTCCCAGTGGACTAATTAGGTCATTTGAGGTGTTTGTACCACATTCAACTTTCCCTGGAGCTAGGTATCTATGAGAGAAGGGTTAGACCCTGGCCTCCACTCTGGTTCCTTTTGCTGCCCTCTTGACACAAAGGGAGCAGGGACTGGCTGCACATGCCAGTGGGTGTAAAGGCAGCAGATCCAGCCCTTGCAGCCAACAGCCCTTGTCATGTGATGTGGCTGAAGCATGCTGCACTTGGGGTATCCCCAGATGGCAAACTGATCCTTGGGCATCATAACCAGCTGATGCAGATTAGAGCAGCCTCCAGGCTAAGGTTGTGAAAGGACAATTTGGATGCCAGTTGATCTGGGCAGCCAAATCCCTGACGGAACTTTGCAAATCTCAGCCTTGATGTTCAAGCAAAGACCATCCTCAGAGATGACCGTATTCCAGACTGCGTGAGTGACAACTGTTTAGAAGGGATGGATTTAGAATCTTAGTGGGCATGTTCTCTCTGTAAACTTTTTGTACATTACACTGAGGAACATGCATTAAGCACATATCTGAAATATGTATTGTAAAAGTAGGTTTTTCCCCACATTTTTATAGAAGCTAAGTTGTATATTTGCTAATTTCATGACTTCCATGGTGCCCAATGAACCTCCATCCTTTGCTTAAATCGTGTGATATACCTCTTGGGGACTGTTACGTTCACAGCATACAAATAGAGAAGTTAAGCAAAAAACTTAGATACTCTTGCTGCAAGGTTGGAACCTAACACAACTTGTATTCTTAGAACCATGAACGATAACAAAAAGTAACAAAAACCAGAGAGAGACAAAGCAGGCTGCTCCTTAATAGAGCGACACACAACTCACCCCACCTTGTTCTAGGCTGGCTCTTTCCAGACTGACTGCTGCTAGGCCCAGATTGAACGCTTCCCTAAGGACAGCAAGCAGGACCAGGAAAAAACCCTGAAAATTAAAGTGATAAATCACAATTTTAACACAGTTTTCATAAACCACAATGAGAGTTTATTGCCATTTTATTAATGCTAATACCATCTGACCTTATAAATCTCTGAAGTGTAGAAAATGTTCCACCTGAATTGCAGTCAAAAGAATGTCTTGTTATGGGCATCCAATTATAACACAAATATTCCATCTGTGAGACACAACATGCTATTACCCAGTCTGAGCCTTTTAGAGGCAAAGGAATTTTTTCCCCTCAGCTTTGCTCTGCTGGCACTAAGAGTAAGGTTTTGAGTAGGGTTATCGATATCTTTTGGCCCTCTTCTTTTGTCATGCATGTTCCCCCACGATCTTTAAGAGGAAACAGAACATTTTCCTCCCCACGTGATAAAGTCTTTTATCAAGAGATCCATTAGCTGACAGGCGTCTGTCTCTCACACTGCATCATCTATTCATTACTGAAGAAAGGCACAAGATGTCCCACCAGATAGTTGGGGTGATTCTAGTCTGTCTGCATAGTAAGTATTTTAGCTTGATTAATTTTGTTCTTATTTTCCAACATGTTAAAAACAATTAACTTTCTGTAGAAGGACCTTCTGCAATTCCAAAAGGTGCTAATATCAACCTGGTGAGAGAAAAATTCACCTCTTTTTGTCCATCAATTGAAATCTTAAGAGAGGTGATGAAATATTTTATATTAAAACAACCTGAATGCCAGAGACAAACACCTTGAAAATAGTTTCTGGTTAGTATTCTGAATTAAGGTTCAAAATCTACTTTTCCTTCATGCTGATGCATTACGTAGGGGCTGATGTATTTTTCTGTAGATCAAAAAGAATTTGACATACAAGTTGCTAACTTCTTAGAGGGACAAGTGGCGTTCAGCCACCCGAGATTGAGCAATAACAGGTAAGTTAATAAAAGACTCTCCCATGTACAATTTAGTAAAAAGTTTGCTACCATTGATTTGGGTAAACTCGAGAGGGAATGTGTAGCCTGGTAATTAGGACAGGGAACTAGAAGTCTGTACCTCTTGGTTCTAAACTCTGATGTTGTTCTTACATTACATTAACTCCCGCACAGGCTACATGAATCCTAACAAAAAAATTGGCTAGAAATAGAGAAAAATTATAACGAATCTTTAACAAAGTACATTTTGTTATTCTTCGATCACCTGCTCTGTATAGTGTGTTGCAAAAGCCGAACCTTTTCCAGTGCTCACTGTATTAACACACTCCTTTCTTCCCCTGTATAGTGACTGCCTCAGAAGAAGAGATACAAATTCTGCAAAGCCCAGCACAGGAGAGGCTGACCCCTGGACAGACTGCACAGCTGGACTGTAACCCTTCAAAAAAAGAATGGAGCGTTGTGTGGTACAAAGAACAGCAGAGTGGAAGTTTACAATGGATTTACCAGAGTTCTCAGTTTGCAACTTCAAATGGAAAATACTCGAGTAAAGTGGACATGACGGCAAATAAGTTCTCTCTTAATATCAATAATGTACAAAGAAATGACTCGGGGGTTTATTACTGCGGCCTCTCTGCTTCTGTGTATGTACAGCCCAACTTTGGGAATGGGACCAGACTAATTGTCACAGGTGAGTTTCCAATGGGTCAAAATAATGATATCGCAATGCTAGCAGGTGCTGTGAAAAACTCATCCTCTTTTTTTGCAAGGTTGTAACTGATCACCATTTCAGCGTTAAGACTTGTGTATTTGTGGAAAAAGGCAGCACAGTTCAGGCAAAAAGAAAAGGTGAGCTGTAGCTCACGAAAGCTCATGCTCAAATAAATTGGTTAGTCTCTAAGGTGCCACAAGTACTCCTTTTCTTTTTGCGAATACAGACTAACACGGCTGTTCCTCTGAAACAGTTCAGGCAGTAACCCAGGACATGCGGTAGGGAATTAGGGGACATGGGGTAGGAAATTAGGAGAGCTGGGCTCTGTTACTGAATCACTGGGCACTTAGGGTGAAATTTTCAGAAGGCCCCAGGAGCCAACAGCTCCCATTTAGGTGCATAAATAAATGGCCACATTTTTAAAATGCTCTAACCAAAAATCAGCTTTTGAAAATCTGGAATAGTTTGGAAAATCCGGCCTTTAATTTCTGTGCATCTCATATTCCTCATCTCTATAATGGGGATAATGACCGTCCTGTGTGAAAGCACTTTGAGATCGATGCATGAAAAGCACCGTGTCTGTGCTAGGTGTTATTATTTCCCTGCCTTCTAGTTGGGATGTTACATTAGGAATCAGATTAGCTAGTCACACTTTCTGATGTTTCCTACTGCAACTGCCTGAGTCTAGGATGTGGGGTATGTTTCACCTGTCCTGCTAACCTTATACGACTTTAATATTACTCAAGTTCTTTTCCAGGCATCCACCAACCTTCATTAAATGACTCCATTCCTGTGTTCATACAGGGGACCATTCAATGTCTCAAGCAGCACAGTATGAACTGCACATCATTCAATGGTTTCAGAGGAGCAGCCGTGTTAGTCTGTGTTCGCAAAAAGAACAGGAGGACTTGCGGCACCTTAGAGACTAACCCATTTATTTGAGCATGAGCTTTCGTGAGCTACAGCTCACTTCATCGGATGCTCAGTGTGGAAAGTGTAGAAGATCTTTTTATATACACACAAAGCATGAAAAAATACCTCCTCCCACCCCACTCTCCTGCTGGTAATAGCTTATCTAAAGTGATCATTCTCCTTACAATGTGTATGATAATCAAGGTGGGCCATTTCCAGCACAAATCCAGGGTTTAACAAGAACGTCTGGGGGGGGGTAGGAAAAAACAAGGGGAAATAGGTTACCTTGCTTAATGACTTAGCCACTCCCAGTCTCTATTCAAGCCTAAGTTAATTGTATCCAATTTGCAAATGAATTCCAATTCAACAGTTTCTCGCTGGAGTCTGGATTTGAAGTTTTTTTGTTGTAATATAGCAACTTTCATGTCTGTAATCGCGTGACCAGAGAGATTGAAGTGTTCTCCGACTGGTTTATGAATGTTATAATTCTTGACATCTGATTTGTGTCCATTTATTCTTTTACGTAGAGACTGTCCAGTTTGATCAATGTACATGGCAGAGGGGCATTGCTGGCACATGATGGCATATATCACATTGGTGGATGTGCAGGTGAACGAGCCTCTGATCATGTGGCTGATGTGATTAGGCCCTGTGATGGTGTCCCCTGAATAGATATGTGGGCACAGTTGGCAACGGGCTTTGTTGCAAGGATAGGTTCCTGGGTTAGTGGTTCTGTTGTGTGGTATGTCGTTGCTGGTGAGTATTTGCTTCAGGTTGGGCGGCTGTCTGCAGGCAAGGACTGGCCTGTCTCCCAAGATTTGTGAGAGTGTTGGGTCATTCTTCAGGACAGGTTGTAGATCCTTGATTATGCGTTGGAGGGGTTTTAGTTGGGGGCTGAAGGTGATGGCTAGTGGCGTTCCGTTATTTTCTTTGTTGGGCCTGTCCTGTCGTAGGTGACTTCTGGGAACTCTTCTGGCTCTGTCAATCTGTTTCTTCACTTCCGCAGGCGGGTATTGTAGTTGTAAGAATGCTTGACAGAGATCTTGTAGGTGTTTGTCTCTGTCTGAGGGGTTGGAGCAAATGCGCTTGTATCGCAGAGCCTGGCTGTAGAGAATGGATCGTGTGGTGTGGTCAGGGTGAAAGCTGGAAGCATGTAGGTAGGAATAGTGGTCAGTAGGTTTCCGGTATAGGGTGGTGTTTATGTGACCATCGTTTATTAGCACTGTAGTGTCTAGGAAGTGGATCTCTTGTGTGGACTGGACCAGGCTGAGGTTGATGGTGGGATGGAAATTGTTGAAATCATGGTGGAATTCCTCAAGGGCTTCTTTTCCATGGGTCCAGATGATGAAGAGGTCATCAATATAGCGCAAGTTGAGTAGGGGCGTTAGGGGACGAGAGCTGAAGAAGCGTTGTTCTAAGTCAGCCATAAAAATGTTGGCATACTGTGGGGCCATGCGGGTACCCATAGCAGTGCCGCTGATCTGAAGGTATACATTGTCCCCAAATGTAAAATAGTTATGGGTAAGGACAAAGTCACAAAGTTCAGCCACCAGGTTAGCCGTGACATTATCGGGGATAGTGTTCTTGACGGCTTGTAGTCCATCTTTGTGTGGAATGTTGGTGTAGAGGGCTTCTACATCCATAGCGGCCAGGATGGTGTTATCAGGAAGATCACCGATGGATTGTAGTTTCCTCAGGAAGTCAGTGGTGTCTCGAAGGTAGCTGGGAGAGCTGGTAGCGTAGGGCCTGAGGAAGGAGTCTACATAGCCAGACAATCCTGCTGTCAGGGTGCCAATGCCTGAGTGTATATAAAAAGATCTTCTACTCTTTCCACAGTATGCATCTGATGAAGTGAGCTGTAGCTCACGAAAGCTCATGCTCAAATAAATTGGTTAGTCTCTAAGGTCCCACAAGTTCTCCTTTTCTTTTTGCGAATACAGACTAACTCGGCTGTTACTCTGAAACCTGTCATTATGCAAAGCAGTTGACAAGAACATCTGAGGAACAATGGGGGATGGAGGGGGCGAATAAACATGGGGAAATAGTTCCCCCCCCCACTGTTCCTCAGACGTTCTTGTCAACCGCTGGAAATGGCCCACCTTGATTATCATTACAAAAGGTTTCTTGTTGGTAATAGCTCACCTTACCTGATCACTCTCATTACAGAGTATATGGTAACACCCACTGTGTCATGTTCTCTGTGTATATAAATCTCCCCACTGTATTTTCCACTGAATGCATCCGACGAAGTGAGCTGTAGCTCACGAAAGCTTGTGCTCAAATAAATTTGTTAGTCTCTAAGGTGCCACAAGTTCTCCTGTTCTTTTTACATAATTCAGTGTATGACTAGTGAGATCTATATATTTTTGATCACACTCTGTGCCAATATTCCAAAGAGTGCACATAAAAAGGAAGGCAAGGAATTACTTTGGGCAGTACTAGAGGCTGTTCCTCAGACTAACAGGATGAACGTAATAGAAAATTTAGCCTGACTGTTATGTCTAATTAAGAATGGTTCCTCTATCAGGCTTTGCATAACTAGATATCAAAGCACCTTGGAAAGGTGACTAAGTATCATTTCCCTAATTTTTCAGTTGGGGAAACTGAGGCACAGAGAGGGGAAGTAAACTAATCTCCAAGGTCACACAGGAAGTCAAAGACTGAGCTGGGAATAGATCTCAGGCCTCCTGACTCCCAACCTGGCGTCCTCACCACCAGACTCACCAGCTCATTCGATGTGATTTGTACGCAACCAAACATGCTGTTGGCACTCAGCAAATAATTCAGGATGGTCATATCAGGACAAACTTCCGAGCAGTGACAGATCAGGGGAGTCTCCCAAGGTGGATGCTCTGGAATGTAAGACACTGATAACTGGAACACACAAAGCATTAGACATTTAAAACATCCACTGGCTGGGGCAGGGGCAGGAGCTGGGTATGGACTAGCTGAGCTACCGCTGACAGGTTCTTCCCAGTCTTTATTTTCGGTGTCTCAACTCTCTTTTAGATGCCTCCGAGCTGAGTCTTTCCATCCTGGTTCCCTCCAATCCAGAGGATGCTGAGCTTCCCCCCATCATTCCTCTGCTCTGCCTGCTCTCTGATTTCACTTCTCCCCGGAGTGAAGTTCTTTGGGACACTGGTGAGGAGGCGTCTGACAGTCAGATGGATGCTGGAGCCGTAGACGGGAACGGGGTCTTTAGTGTTTGGAGCCTAACGACAATCCCTTCTGAGACGTGGAACCAGGAGACGATCTGCACTTGTACAGCCAAGGAGAACAGCACGGGGAGAAGCATCAGTGCTACAGTCTCCAAGGAAACAGGTCCAGTATCCTATCATCCAGTCTAACCTGCCTACCTGGGCATTTATCCTACACCCCTCACCGTGGTATCTGGGCACCAAGAGTCAGCGACGTCTACTCCAGGCTAGAGAAATAGACAGAATCAGACGGGATGGCTCAGGTGAAGGATAACTAATGGGAGCGAGGAGAGGTTTAGGAAACCATTGAGAGGGTGCTTGAAGTATGGGGCAGTTACAGTTGCTTCCCCAATCACCCACCTTTCCCACCCCCAGCCCTTCTGAAAACCTTCATTTTTGTATGCTCGGTGGTGAGAAATGGGTTTCTGGTCAAGTAGCCCGAGCCTTCCCCTCCATGTGAGCACAGCAAGGATACAGAAGGGTCACTTGGGGTGAACCAAAGGGGAATAACTAGGGAAGGAAATCAACAAAGGGAACAGCAGGATGAATGTCAGGAATGGCTTCCTGACAGTGAGATTTAACAAGTAATGGAGCAGATGCCCAGGGGCAGGGCGGGAAGCCCCTGTAAACAGGACTGGACAAAGCACCAGTGAATATAACACAGAGAACAATCCTGCAGTGCCAAGGGGGTAGCTAGAGGGCACCCAGTGTAACAGGGTTGTCTCTATCTCTGAAATTTTTGCTGACACGGCTATGCCAGTAAAAGCCTTACTGTGGACACAGTTATACCGGGATAAAGGTGCCTTACACCAGCACAGCTTATTTCTGTTCCTGAGCCAGGAGGAGTTATGTCGGCAATGTTACAACGCAAAGCTTTTAAGTGTAGTCGAGCCCTTCACCAACCAAACAAATTCCAGATGGCACAGACGGGTGTGTCCAGCCTGCCGAATGGCCATTTAATTTCCTAACTGCCTCAGCATTTGCCGCAAACTTGTGCTGGGGTAACAAGGAACCACCTGGAATCTGACCACACAACTCTGGAGGTGCACACATCAGAGGAATTATTGGGGGTGGAAGGAAGAGAAGAGAGACAGAATACCCTGGCAGATCATTTTGCAATGCCCCTGTCCCCTGTCTTTTACACATCCCATGGCTTCCGCATACAGGAGGGCAGCATGCTACAGAGCACAGAGTAATGGGTGTGGAGCTTTGGGGAAAGGAACTCCCTTTGCCCATGATGCTATGTGGGAGGTGCAGATCAGGACCCATTTGTTCTGATGGGAGTTTTCTATACTCTGCAGAGAGACAAGACGCTGGAGACTGTAGGATTGTGTTCTACGCTGGGCTGCCCTGTATTTTCATCCTTCTCCTGATCCAGCTCTTGATCTTGCTCTGGAGAAAGTGCTCCATCAGAGGTAACTCAGTCATAACTCTGACTGCTATGAACACAGCCACTCATCACACATCCCTATAACTGTCCCTTTCTCTGTTTCTTCCATCAGGGAGAGCTGTGCAAAGACAGAAGGAAATACCTATGCGGCAGATCCCACAGGTAAACTGCTTTTTCAAAGCTTTTGGCACATCAGAAAGACACAGCCTCTTAACAACAGGGGGCTAGAACCAGTGTCCTGGCCAATGTCCGACCCTAGTGCCTACACATTTCCTCCTGAATTCTTATTTGAATTTATTCCCCTCTGCCCTCTTAGCGGAAGTGTTGTGTAGGGTTATCGGTACGGAAGAACTGCTGAGTTCCACCCCAGAGGTGGCTGCAGATCCGGGATGGAAAAATAGCTGTGTATATTTCTGTAAAGGACAACCAGATCATCTAGACTGACCTCTCATATATCACAGGCCTTTCACCGAGTTACCCTAATATTGAGTCCAATAGGCATTGCCCTTGTGTATTTTGACTATAAACTCTTTGAGTCAGGAACTGTCTCTTTCCATGTGTGTGGAGAGCCCAGCACAATGGGGACGTCTCTGTTGGGGGCGTCTAAGTGCTGCTCTAATACAAAGAATTAATATTAATATTGGCTCTTTCCTTTTTCTATTTCAGACTGAATATGCAGCTCTGACGTACAATAACAGAAATGTTCCTCGGTGACTGATGTAGTCTCATAAAAGTGGTTTATATTTTTTTAAAAGCAAGAGAAGCAAAAAGAAAGAACGAAAGAGAAAGTGAGATAAATATGGAAAATCTCATGTTTGTAATGTGCTATGATGTGATGTGAGTTTGTCTGAAATACAACCTCTTCCACAGTCATTTCTCTTAACACATATTGTGGGTAGAGATCTCCATTCTTGCAAAAAGCCATGTCATTAGGGTTCATTAGTAATTGCCTGCAGGTTTGTGGGACATTAGATTTACATCTCATCTCAAACATGTCACTTCCTGCACCATAATGCCCTATCTCAGAGTTCACTCACCCCAGGGCGCCTCCTCCTGGCTGCTCAAGGGATTAGCTCCTTCCAGCTCTGACACCCCCTTCCACCAGCTCACTCTCACTCCAGCCCCACTCGCTCCTTTGGACTCTGCACTTTTCCTCTTCATGCCTTGGCCCTCTGGCCAGGTCACTGGGTTCCCCCCTCCCAGGGTGTCAAAGTCCCACAGAACTAAGTGTCTCAGGCAGTCTCCAAACCCAGTGCCCTGACTGTGCCACTTCCCCAGTGGCTGGTAGGGAAACCCAGGCCCACCCTCAACTCCTGGGTCCAGCTCATAGACCCTTAAATCAGCAGTCAAAGTCTGCAACATCCCGCCTTGCTGGGGCATTCCTGAACGTTTTCCTCCTCTGCCTCTCACCACACCACCACCCTCCTGGGTAAACCCTTCCTTCAGGACCTGGATCCTCAGGGTTTCTCCTCTGCCTCTGAGTTTCTTCCTTTCCCTCTCTAATGCCCAGAGTGTGAGGGTACGTCTATACTGTCAAGTTTCTGCGCAACAAGTTATACCACTTTTATTAAAGCGCTGGAATTAAACCGCTGTTGTATGTCCACACTGTGTTCCTTGTGACAGTGGAGCGAATCCACATTAGCAGCTCTTGCAATGGCAAAGAGAGCAGTGCATTGTGGTAGCTATCACACTATGCAACTGGCCGCAGGGTGCTTTGGGAAGGGTTTGCAATGCCTCATGGGGCAGGCACAGCATTACATGATGCAGGTTTCCCAATCCCATTGTTCCATGGGCATCCTACTACAGTGCCAGCTGCTTTTCAACTGAAGGGGGGGGGGGGCAGAGTGTGTGACAGGGAGTGTGTGTGTGTATCGGAGGAGGGGAGAGACAGTGTGTTTTGGGAAACGCAGCGTGTCAGTGTAACCCACACACCTTCTGGGTGTGGTGTTCTGTCCCATCTAGTGGCACCGAGACCCCTTAAAGAGAGAGAAAACGAGTCTGCTCTACAGCCTTAGCTAACAGCCAGGGGGCTTTTAGCTCATGCCCTAAGCTCTAGAGACCCCAGGTTCAATCCCACCTGCAGACGACCAGGGTCTGTCAGCATAACATCAGCCTGCTGTCTTGTAAATTAAGACAGCGGCAGGAAGCAACCAGTCCTGAGGCAAAGGGAGGGGGAAACCCTGACATGAGCCCTCGCCTCCCTCCCCAGCTCTCTGCACAGCAATCTGTCTCTCTCTCATACACACATCCACCTGCTTCTGGCTTGCTCTGTGTTCCACAGCAGATCAGCACAGCACGCAAGGGCTGTCAGAAATGGAGCTTTGAAAGGCGAGGGGTGCATGTCTCCAGGGCAGCTGAGTTCAAAACAATGAGCAGAGTGGCCACTTGAGGGATTATGGGACACTTCCAGAGGCCAGTTGATTGCTTTCTGCGCTGTAATGTATTTACCCTGCCAATACAGCGCTGGAGCCTCTGCGCTTTAAAGCTTATGACTTTCGCTGCCGCAGAGGAGTTTCTGCGCACTAAATGGCTTGGCAGTGTGTACACCTCGGGAGTTACACTGCAGAAAGCTGCTTTACTGCGCAGTGACTTGCCAGTGTAGACAAGGCCTGACTGCAGCCCCACCTGTTCCTGCTCAGCTGGGCTCCGTCATCATTCACCTAATCCCCCTAAGCTGTGGCCTACCCACTTAACTAGCCCCTTGTCAGCCTCATTTCCCCCACACTAGCCCCATCATGCCCCCTATCACCAGGATGGGCATTTGCTGCAGATTCAGAGGCATAGAACGGAGGTTCACAAACTGAGGCGGTGACATTACAACCCATACTAGAGGAGGTTTCCTATCCAAGTAATGACCCTCTGTAGAGGGAGCAATATAGAGGGATCCCAGCCCAAAGCAGGGAGGGCATAAATGGTTTGACCCTGTTTGACAACATTTAGTAACATTAGACACCTCCACACAAGGTCAAGAAGCCAAACTTTGGTAGAGTGGGACACAACACTCAGCTACGTTTTCAAACAGATTGTTAAGCTTTATTTAAATTTCCTCTATGCAAACTGCACATCACTAGCACAGAAACCATCACAGAATCTTGCTTTAAAAGTTCAGGAGGCTGCTGAAAAAGGAGTTTAGGATTCAGACAGTTTTTAATGCACCCATGAACTCCCCTGAGTCTGCGGCTTTCGCTCTTTTACTGAATTTCCAAAACTGACAGAAAAGTCCAAATCCAGCCTTAGCAGAGTGACAGGGGCTATTAGAACTGTCTGCACCCTAAATTCACTGATTTTGAAGACCCAGAGAATGGCTCTGTGCAAATTAAAGTTGTTCTTCATCACTTACAGATGTTTTCCCACCAATTTATACCCAGAGCCAGATTATCCTACCACTTCAATGAGAGTTGTGCGTTTACAACTGATGGGCTACCCAGGCCTCTGCCGTGTCATTTACATCACTGGTTACATCCCAGCGGAATTTGCCCAGAGATTCCTAGGGGAGTTTCATCTGCTTATTTGAGGCAGAAGTTTGCCCTGTGCGATAACGCAAATGATGAGTGATAGAGATAGTGTGTTCAGCCATCAGAGGCAACAGCAGTTCCAAGCACTGAGCCTGGCTGAATACAGCACTCTTCTCTATGGAAGAGCTGCTGTGTTACAGGTGTGTGGGAAGGAATTAATGTTCAGTAGGAACAAAGAAGGAACTGGTAGAGCTGTTTTCAGTTTTTGTGAGAAATCAGCCCCACTATTAATAGAGCTGCTGGTAGATTCAGAACAACAAAATAACCACCAGGACGTAGCACAATGTAGAATAAGCAAGAGATAGTTCAACACAGAACAACATCTGGTGCAGAGACAGCAGGTGCCAGGGCTTTCTGACAGGTCAGACGACTGCAAACAACTCTGGTTCAAGGTGCGATTGTGTAGGCGGCATTGTACCTGCTGCCTATTGTGAAGGATTTTTCCCAGAAATGGCCCTTATTGAGGTAGCTAAGGGTATATCTACGCTGCAGCTGGCAGGGTAGTTCCCAGCCCGGGTAGATACACAAGCGCTAGCTCTGGTCTAGCTAGTGTGGTGAAAATAGCAGAGTGGCCATGGGCCGTGGCTCAGGCCAACTCTACGAGTTCGTGTCCAGGAGGTCGGGCAGAATTGAACTTGGGACGTCAGCCCGAGCTGCCACCTGGGCCGCCGAGGCCACACCGCTATCTTTCAATGCGCTACATTGAGCCGCTACCCTCCCAGCTGCAGTGTAGACGTCCCCTAAATGGGAGCTGGGCTCTTCTGGAAGTGTGGCCCCAGCCGTGGGTGATGAACAGCTGAGAAACAGGCTTCTCACTGCTGCCTCAGTATTTTACTCACCGCTGAGCCTTATTGCTTGACAACATGATACTGAATGGTAATTTGGGACCAGATTCTCAGCTGGTGTAAATCAGCATCGCTCCAGTGAAGACAATGAACTGAGGCTGATTTACACTAGTTGAGGATCTGGCTCATGAAGGATTTAAGTGAATCCTGAACGCTCACAGTGGCTTGCTTGAGAAATGAGAAAAGGAAATCCCTGTAGCTGGATTTCCAGACTCCAGAACAGCTCAACCTTTGTCACCTGCCTCCAAACTGTGCAGTTTCTGATCTTGCATTTTTGCACAATCCAAACTCCCATTGATTTGAGTGGAATAGTGCTGGGTGCAACAGGAACGCAGGGTGTGGCCTTGTAGCCCAGAGTTTGTGGGACTGTAAGGTGCATCTTGGGTAGGGTGACCAGAAGTCACGCTTTTAAAGGGACAGTCCCGTTTTTCGGGACTTTTTCTTATATAGGTGCCTATTACCCCTCACCCCCTGTTTTTTCACAGTTGCTATCTGGTCACCATAATCGTGGGTGTTCTGCAAACACTTCATGCAGCACAATACAACATGATTAATCCTCTGATTGGGGTTTCTTTGATACTTGTGCATATTCTTTGGCTCCCTTTTATGATAAAAATTCCAGGAACGTCATGAGTAGATCCCAAAGCGCTTTACAAAGGAGGTCAGTAACCTTATCCATTTTACAGATGGGGAAACTGAGGAACAGAGCAGTGAAGTGACTTACTCAAGATAACTCAACAGCAGAGCTGGGAATAGAACCCATGTCTCTGTCCAGCACTCTATCCACTAGGCAACACTGCACAGTGGATAATTAGTGGCTGATACATTCTTTCTCTAACCATCCCCTGGCTGCAGATGAACTGGGGGGAGCAGTTCACACTTCCTTGGTAACCGAACGCAGGGAGTGAGACCTGAAAAAACAAATAACCCAAGCATTTTGTAGCAGAACAAACAAAAGAAAAGTGGCAAAATAAGTGGGCTGAAACTGACCACAGCGGCAAGTGCAGCTTTCCGAGCAGCCAGTTCTGATCTATTTTTAAACGACTGGCCCTTTGCAGCAAACACGGCTGTTTGTCCTGTAGTCTGTGGTTTTATAAGATCGGTTTTCATTTGTTTTTATAAAACATAATGTACTAATGAAATCAATAAAAACGATGACAGTAACTTTGTCTTTGTCTTGGCTTTTAGTAGACTTATATTGGAGAAGATCGTGTGTAATATGAATTTGTATCATTTAAGTGTGACTGGGGAAAATAGTCTTAGGGCAAATTTTCAAACATGCCCAGATAACTTAGATTCAAAACCTCCCATTGTTTTTGCAAACGTCCCTAGTGCCGCCCTATCTGCATCTTTAAGCACCTAAATACCTTGAAATATGGTTTTCATGAGCCTAGATACCACTGAAAGTCAGCAGGACTTAGATTACCAAGGACTTACGTCACTTTTGAAAATGAGACTTAGGCTCCTAAATTATTTAGGTATTTGTGCCCCAAAGCGGCTAGATTTCTGTTATAGCCAGGTCTACAATGTCATCATGGCAATTGTTAGAAAATTTCAGGCAGAGGTAGAGGAAAACGACCATAACAAAGGGAGGGAGCAGAGGGTATGTGGGGGGTTGGAGAGCCCTGGACTCACCCTGCAGTGGCACCTTCTGTCCCGTGGGGCTGGGTCCAGCTTGGGGCATTGCGATCTGGCCCACTTGGTCACAGTGCCACTCAGGTTTGGTGTGACTGCCTCTCTGGAGATGGAAAAAGAAAAGGAGTACTTGTGGCACCTTAGAGACTAACCAATTTATCTGAGCATGAGCTTTCGTGAGCTACAGCTCACTTCATCGGATGTAGATGGAAACGGAGGGACAAATGTGCTAAACCTGAGACCACGTGGGCCAGGTTGCAACGTCCATTGCTAGGAGCCGGGCCCAGACTCGGTGGCCAGGAACTATCATTGCAGGGGTCATGGAATTTACTCAGATTCATGGTTACTGTGAACACCACACCAAAAACATAGCCTGAATTCTAGCTAAGTTGATTTGCCTGGTCAATAGGACCTTTGTATGGTACGATGCTAATGTAGCTGTACAAAGCACATCTACGGCACTAGGTCCCCAGTTCAGCAAAGCTCTGCTAATTTAGCTGTGTACTTATTTCTCCTCACCACCCTGCTGCAGAAAAGGGAGGAAATATCCCCATTTTACAGCTGGAGAGTGGAGGCCCAGAGAGACTTGGGGTAACATGTTCAATTCAACATGTTCAAAAGCCCCTAAGTGATTTGGGAGGCAGAGTCCCACTTTCAACAGGGACTCAGGCTTGAAAGTCATTGGGATGTAAGTGATCAGCAACACATAGAGCCTGTGGCAGAGCAGGGATTTAATGGAAAGCCTCTAAATCCCTGGCTAGCACCTTAACAACTGCACCATCTTTCCTCTCTTCAAGCATGTGCTGAAGTCCCAGTGAACCAGTTAGGCCAGGAAAGGTGTTTGCACCACATTCAACGTCCCCTTGAGCTAGGTATCAATGAGACCCGGGTCAGAACCAGGCCCTCATCCTGGTCCCTTGGTGCTGCTCCCATGACACCAAGGGAGCAGGAACTAGCTGCACGTGCCAGGGAGTGTTAAGGCAACACAGCCAGCCCTTGCAGCCAACAGCCCTTGGCGTGCCATGTGGCAGGAGCAGTCTGCACTCGGGGTGTCCCCAGCTGGTGCAGTTTAGAGCAACCTCCAGGCTGGACCAGCTTATATATGGCCTGAAGATGAACATGGGAGAATAGGAGAGTGGGCTCAGCCCAGCCAAGGTTTTGGCCTGATTTGCAGAAGGATTTTATTGAGGCTGAGGTTTGAAAGGGCAATTTCGATGCTCAATTCATCTGGCCAATCACATCCCCAATGGAACTTTGCAACTCTCAGCCTTAATGTTCAAGTGAAGACAAGTCACAGATTGCGGGGGCGACAACTGTTCAGAGGGCATGGATTTGGAATCTCTTAGTGGGCATTTCATTTTGCTCTCTCCAAAAAGTATTTTGCACATTGCATTAAGTAAGATGCATTATGCACATATCTGAAATAAGTATCCTAAAAGTAGGTTTTGCCCCAAAATTTTCCAGAGTGGGGTGACTCCACCACACTTTCATATTCTAGCCCCATCCGTTGCTTTCCCAGATGGCCCCACCCCCAGAGACCCCCTTTTCTTAATCTATCGTAATAATTAAACACACAAGTTAAGGTGTATTTTTGCTAATTTCACCCCTTCCAGAATGCCCAGTAGGCCTGTTGGTTTCCTCCATCCTTTGCTAAAATCATTTTATATGCCTCTTGGTGGCTGTTCACCGCATACAATAGAGAAGTTAGATAAAAAACATCAAATACTCTTGCTGAAAGTTTGCAACCTAACACTACCTTTATTCTTAGAATCCAGAATGATAACACACAGTAACCAAAAACAGAGAGAGACAAAGCAGGCTGCTCCATAAGGCAGCGAGACAAAATTCACCTATCTTGTTCTAGGCTGGCCCTTTCCAGACTGACTGCTGCTGCTCCCAGATTGCACACTTCCCCACAAACAACAAGCAGGACCAGGAAAAAACTCTGAAATTAAAAGTGATAAATCACAATTTTAACACAGTTTTCATGAACCTTTTTATTGATGCTCATACCATCTGACCTTATCAATCCCTGAAGCAGAGAAAATATTCCACCTGAATTGCAGTCAGAAGAATGTCTTGTTATGGACATCCAATTATAACACAAATATTCCATCTGAGACACACACCATGCTGTTACCCAGTCTGAGCTTGAACTTCTTCTCTTATAGATTTTGGAGGCAAAGGAATATTTTCTCCCAGGTTTGCTCTGCTGGTTCTCAGAGCAGGTTTTGAATGGGGTTATTAATATCTCCTGACCCTCTTCCTTTGTCATGCATGTTGCCCCACAGATCTTTAAGAGGAAACAGAACATTTTCCTCTCCACGTGACAAAGTCTTTCATCAAGAGATCCATTAGCTAGCAGGCATCTGTCTGTCTCACAGCATCACCTATTCATTACTGAAGAAAGGCACAAGATGTCCCACCACATAGTTGGGATGATTCTAGTCTATCTACGGAGTAAGTATTTTAGCCTGATTTATTTCATGCTTCTTCTCTACCACCCTAAAAAACAATTAACTTTATGCATAACGTCCTTCTGCAATTCCAAGAGATTCTAACATCAGCCTGGTGAGAGAGAAATTCACATCTTTTAGTCCATCAATTGAAATCTAAGGAAAGGTGATGAAATATTCTATTTTAAAATAACCTGAATGCCAGATATTAACAGCTTGAGAATAGTTTCTAGTTAATATCCTGCATTGGGGTGCAAAATTTATTTTTCTTTTATGCTGATGTCTTACATACGTTCTGATGTATTTTTCTGCAGAATGATCAAAGGGAGAATTTGAAACACAAAGGGTTATGTTAGTAAAAGCCTCTCCCATGTACAATATAGTCAAATGAAGGGTTTTTACCATTGATTTTGGTAAGTTCAAGTGGGGATGTGTAGCCTGGTGATTAGTGCTGGGAACTGGAAGTATGTACCCCTGGGTTCTGAACTCTGAGGTTGTTTTTTGTTGTTACATTACATTAATTCCTGCACAGGCTACATGAATCCTAACAAAACAAATGGCTAGAAATAGAGAAAATTAAAATGAATATTTAATAAATATGTGCTTTATATTATTCTTGGATCATCTGCTCTATAAAGTGTATTGCAAAAGCCCAGGCTTGTCCAGTGCTTACTATATTAACACACTCCATTCTTCCTCTGTATAGTGGCTGCCTCGGAAGAAGGGATACAAATCCTGCAAAGCCCAGCACAACTGTGGCTGACCTCTGGACAGACTGCACATCTGGACTGTAGAATATCAAAAGAAGAATGGCGAGTGCGGTGGTACAAGGAACAACAAAATGGAAGTTTGCATGGGATTCATCAGAGTTCTCAGTCTGAATCTTTAGATGGAAAATACTTGAGTAATGTGAACATTACGGCAAACACATTTTCTCTACTTATCAGTAATGTACAAAGAGATGACTCAGGGGTTTATTACTGTGGCCTCTCTGCCTCTGTGTATCTACAGCCCAACTTTGGGAATGGGACCAGACTAATTATCACAGGTGAGTTTTCAGTACCTCAGAACAATGATAACGTAATGCTAGGTGGTGTTTGAAAAAATCATCTTTTTCTGGCTAGATTGTGACCGATCCCCCTGTTTCAGCTTTAAGCCATCAGCATTTGTGCATAGAGGCAGCACGGTCCAGACAGTGACCCAGGGCATAGGGTTGGAAATTAGGAGACCTAGATTCTGTTCCTGAAACACTGGGCACAGGGGGGGTGATTAAAAGAAATCAGCACCCAACAGCTCCCATTTAGGTGCCCAAATAAATGACGGGACTTTTAAAACGCTGTGATCAAAACCTGGGAAATTTTAGAAAATCTGACCTTTAATTTCTCTGCATCTCAGATTCCTCGTCTGTATAATGGGGACAATGAGTCTCCTATGTAAAAGCACTTTGAGACCTATGGATGAAAAGCACCTTGTAAGTGCAAGGTGCTATTTCCCTGCCTTCTAGTTGGTATGTTACATTAGGAATCAGATTTGATAGCCAGACTTGCTGATGATTCCTACTGAAACTGTCTGAGCTTAGGACATGGGGTATGTTTCACCTGTCCTCCTATCCTATTAAAACTTCAATATTAATCAGGTTCTTTTTCAGGCATTCACCAAGCTTCATGAAATGATTCCCCCAACGTTTTCATACAGGGCACTATTCATTGTCTCTCAAGCAGCACAGTATGAATTGAACATAATAATTCAATGTACAGCTACTACTATCTATATATTTTTGATCTACACTCTGTGCAAATATTCCAAAGACTGTACCTAAAGAAGAAGGCATGGAATTATTTTGCGTGTTACTAGAGGCTGTATCTCAGACAAATGGGATGAATGTAATAATAGGAAAATGTAGAATGACTATCGTATTTAAACAAGAAAGGTTTCTCTGTCAGGCTTTTCATCCATAGATAGGAGTGTTTCCACTTTACATTTGGGGAATGAGTCACAGATGCAATATGAACTTGTCTCCAAGGTCACAAAGTAAGTCAGACACAGAGCTGGGAATGAATCTCAGGCCTCCTGACTCCTGGTCTGGTGTCCTCACCACCATACTTGACCAGCTCTTCTTCTGCATTTTTACCTAACCAAACATATTGTCGGCACTGAGCAAATCATCCTTGATGATCATATTCGTACAAACTTCTGAAAGGCGATGGATCGTGGGAGTCTCCCAAGGTGGATGCCCCATAGCATAAGACAGTGGTTTTCAACCTGTGCTCTTCAGACCCATGGGGGTCTGCAGACTAGTCCAAGATTTCCAAAGGGGTCCACACCTCCATTCAAAATTTTGTAAGGGTCCTCAAATGAAAAAAAGGTTGAAAACCACTAGTGTAAGACACTGAAAACAGGCAGAGACAAAGCATTAGAAACATACTGCACTGGTGGGGTAAGGGTAGCAGCAGGGTGTGGACTAGCTGAGCTACTGCTGACAGGTTCTTCCCAGTCTCTATTTTCGGTGACTCAACTCTCTTTTAGATGCCTCCGAGCCGAGCCTTTCCATCCTGGTTCCCTCCAACCCAGAGGATGCTGAGCTTCCCCCCATCATTCCTCTGCTCTGCCTGCTCTCTGATTTCACTCCTCCCTGGAGTGAAGTTCTTTGGCACACTTGTGAGGAGGCATCTGACAGTCAGACGGATGCTGGAGCCATAGACGGGAACGGGGTCTTTAGTGTTTGGAGCCTAATGACAATCCCTTCTGAGACATGGAACCAGGAGACGATCTGCACTTGTACAGCCAAGGAGAGCAGCACAGGGAGAAGCATCAAAGTTACAGTCTCCAAGGAAACAGGTCCAGTATCCTATCAACAAACCTAACCTACCTAGCATTTATGCTATGCCCCTCACCGTGGTATCTGGACACCAAGAGTCAGCAACATTGCTCCAAGCTAGAGAAATAGAATCACATGGGATGGCTCAGGGGAATGATAACTAATGGGAGCGAGCAGAGGTTTTGGAAACCTCTGAGAAGGTGCTTGAGATGTGGGGCAGTTACAGTTATGGTCACTCCCCCGTCACCCACTTTCCCACCCCCAGCCCTTCTGAAAACCTTCATTTTTCAACCCTCAGTGGTGTGAACTGGGTTTCTGGTCAAGCAGCCTGAAGCACAGCAAGGACACAGAAGTGTCACTTGGGGTGAGCCAAAGGGGAATAACGGCGCATCAGGAAGGAAATCAACAGAGGGAACAGCAGGATGAATGTCAGGAATGGCTTCCTGACAGCAAGATCTAACAGATAATGGAACAATTGCCCAGAGGCAGGGCTGACAGCCCCAATAAGAGGACTGGACAAACATTAGCCACTATAATATAGGGAAAAACCCTGCTGTAGTCAGGAGGGAGTTAGAGGGCACCCAATGAAACAAGGTCATCTCCACCTGTGGCCTCTAGGATTCTGAGCTATCCCCTATAAATAACTTGATTCTATTGCACTCATCATTGGAGCAGGTTGTCTCAGGCTAAAATGACTCAATGGAATGATGTCCAGTGCAAGCCAGCAGGAGTAGGGCTGGTCTCCACTGTTACCGGGTAACTCTGTTGGGCAGTGATGTAAATTTTTGCTGACATGACTATGCCAGTAAAAGCCTCAGTGTGGACGCAGTTATACCGGGATAAAGGTGCCTTACACCAGCACAGGTTATTTCAGTTCCTGAGCCAGGAGGAGTGATGCCGGCAATGTTACAGTGGCAAAACATAAACATGTAGATGAGCTCTTCACCTGCCAAACAAATTCCAGGTGGCACAGATGAGTGTGTCCAGCCTGCCAATCGGACATTTAATTTCCTAATTGCCTCTGCTTTTCCTGCAAGCTTGTGCTGGGAAAAAAGGAACCACATGGAATCTGACCACGAAACTCAATGATCCACACATTAGAGGAATTATGAGGGGTAGAGGGAAGGAAAGGGAATTTGCATGGCAGATCATTGGCTACTACAATTTTTGTAAGGCCACTGTCCCCTGTCCTTTCCACATCCCATAGCCTCCACATACAGGTGGGCAACATGCTACAGAGCACAGAGGAATGAACGTGGAGTTCCGGGGAAAAGACCTCCTTTTGCCCATCTGTTTTGCTCGCAGTTTTCCATTCTCAGCATCTCTTCTCTCTGCAGGAGACTGTAGGATTGTGTTCTACGCGGGGCTGCCCTGTATTTTCATCCTTCTCCTGATCCAGCTGTTGATCTTGCTCTGGAGAAAGTGCCCCATCAGAGGTAACTCAGTCATAACTGTGCTATAAAGCAGAAACTCATCACACATCCCTATAACTATCCCCTTGTCTGTTTCATCCATCAGGGAGAGCTGTGCAAAGAGGCAATCAAATACCTATGAGGCAGATGCCACAGGTAAACTGCTTTTTCCACCATTGGTATGTCAGAAAGATACAGTGTATTAACAACAGGGGATTAGAACCAGTGTCTTGGCCAATTTCCAACCCTAGTGTCTACACTTTGCCTCCTGAATTCACAGAGGTTTCATTTGAATTCTTCTCTGCTCTTCTAGTAGAAGTGTTGTGTAGGGTTATTAGTACCGAAGAACTCCTGGGTTCCACCCCAGAGGTGGCTGCAGGTCAGGGATAGTGAAATAGTGCAGTGTATATTTCTGTAAGCGACCACCAGAACTTCTAATCTGACCTTATGTATATCACAAGCCACCAACACCATCCAGCCACCAGGGCCGGCTCCAGGCACCAGCGAAGGAAGCAGGTGCCTGGGATGGCCAATAGAAAGGGGCGGCACTCCATCTGTTATTGGGGTGGCACGTCTGGGTCTTCGGCAGCAATTCAGCAGCAGGTCCTTCATTCCCTCTCTTCTTCTTTGGCAGCCCTTTGGCGGCAGCTCAATTGGGTTTGTCTTCTTTTTTTTTCTTTATTTTTTTTTCCTTCGCCGCTTGGGGCGGCAAAAAAGCTGGAGCCGGCCCTGCCCGCCACTGAACTCAGCTACCAGGACAAAAGACCACAACCAAGAAATTGGAAATATGTTTTTTCACATTCTTATCAAACAAAACCTGATCAGTTGATGCCTTTTGAACTTTCCAAATAAAATTAATATCTGATCTTTCCTTTTTCTGTTTCAGACTGAATATGCGACTCTGATGTACAGTAACAGAAATGCTCCTCTGTGACTGAGTCTCACAAAAATGGCGTATGTTTTTTTTAAAACAGGAGATGCAGAAAGAAATAATGAAAGAGAAAGCGAGAGATATATAGAAAGTCTCATGTTTGTAATGTGCTATAGTGTGATATGAATTTCCTTGAAACACAACCCCTTCCTTAGTCATTTCTCTGAACCCATATTCTGGGTTGACACCTCCATTCTTGCAAGAAAGCTGTGCAGAATCGACTGTAGGTTGAGGGGGGATTGGATTTACATACTTCCTGCACCATAGCATCCCTTATCACCATGATGGGAATTTGGTTCTGACTGAGGGTGACAGTGTCACCCACTGAATTTGTGAAGCTACTTACTATACTGGAGGAGGTTTCCACCCAAGCACTCACTGTGTGTGGAGGGAGCAATCTAAAGGGATCCCAGCCCAAGGCAGGTCGTGCTGTGGCATTGGGGTCAGTACTTAGATCACAATCAGGCCTGTGTTTTCACATTTTTACTGTCACTCGTGGTGAGCAACAGGGCTGGTTTAGCATCCAATAACAGAACATGTATGTTAAGGGTCAGATTGTAACACCTGTAGCCACCCTGGTGAGAAGTTACGGATGTGAACAGTCCCTAGGACTTCAGCAGCACTCCTGCTGTGAATAATGGCTCCCCAATGGGAGTGAGAGACTCATCGCCTGGCCCCAAATGAAATACAAAAGGCCACATACTACTCTCAGTGACACCTGTAAACCCAGAGTAACTCCACTGCCGTCACCAGAGTTCCTCTGTACTCGTATACACCAGCCCCAGTGAGAGCAGTATCGGGCCCAAAGAAAGTAGAAGTCACCTGTCATATATAATGTGCTGAGCTTCATGCATCTCAGCTGCTAGAGAAAGGAACGGAAACATGAGGGAAGACGTGGCATATTTTTTAATGAGCAACATTTAGAATTACAGCTTCAAAATGAGGAGTTAGGATCCAACCAGGCAGCATGTGCAGGCTCCGTGGCTGGGGGAGCCCCTCCCAATGATAAAGCTGTTACGGATAGAAGATAGATGGGTGTTGGCACGAGGCCCTGTGGATTGAGCCCTTCAGGAAAAACAGCAGTTTCCCAAGGAATTTGTTGGAGTAGCAGCTCCAGGACAGGGATGCGGACAGAGCCTGACCTCACACAGCTCCATTCAGACACAGTTTCCCATTCGTCATCTCCCCTCATACCATGGAACGATACTGCTGGCCAGGCAGCACGGTCCTGCTGATGGCAGCTCCCAGGAGACAGCCAAAAGCAACCTCCACCCAGCTGGAAAGTGTCACTTCTGTCTGGTTCTGCCCCTTCCATCTGCTGTGTGCGTCAGGGGGCCAAGGCTGGTTCTGCATCTAGATTTTTCTGGTCCTGCTTGTGCCACCGGTAACACACCTGAGTCTCACACCCAGTCAGGTGGATGTTCAGTTTCTCGAGGGTACAACCTCCCACCTACCCTTTCAAAACCACTAAGGACTCGATTAGACATGAGAGTAGCTGAGTTCATGGTGACGGCCTGTGTGAATAAGGCAGGCCCTAAGCCCCAACTCCTGTTACCAGCACCCAGCCTGAGTAACTGAGCTCAGGGGGAAGAGGGGAGGAATCGTCTCCTTCACGGGTCACAAAACGGTGGTGGAGCCACTCCAAGTTCTGAAGCAAACAGGGTGCAACGTAGGTCACATGCAGGCTCCTGCAATCCTGACACCCTTTATGAAATGACACTGTCAACGACCCTTTGCTCCCACAGAGAGGGAGGGATTTGTCCCTAAATGTACCAATATGTTGCAAAGATACCTGTATGTAATCGGGGGAATGGTCCCACTATTGTGGGGAACTTTCCTAGCTTATACACTAACCCGATGGAGTCGGCCAGCGAACGGATCTGAGTCCTCACTCCAACTCCCTTTACTCAGATGCCTGTCTGACCTTGAGGACTCCCCTTCCAGTCTCCCATGCGGCAGAGTTGTCATAATGCCAACAAGGCTGGGCCCAGGATTCCTGGGAGGCTGAAGCCCCAGTCTTGTCGGGGATGTGAGGACTTTGCTGCATGGGACAGGGGCGAGGGTGTCCGCACTCTGGGGTCCTCTCTCCACACCGGACGCTTCCCTGACCCATGGATCATTACATACAGTTCAAACCCAATGCAATCCACTAAACAACAACTGTAAAAAAAAATAGGGAAAAAATGGAAAGGTTAAAGAGAACAAGGAACCCCACCCTGTAGACACAGGAAACACCACAACCAGCCGGCTCTGGGATGTCAGGGAAGCTCACAACCTGTTCCTCACACTTCCCAGGCCTCCTTCCCAAGCCCTGGCTGTGTTGCAGTGATACCCCGGATCAGACCCCTGCTCTGGGGGTGGCCACTTGCCCTCAGGATCTAGGTGGCAGGATCCTTCTCCCCAGGGCTGCCACTCCCCATCGAGTTCATGTCCCTTCTCCGAGTCCGGCCTGTGAAGTCTCTTATCTGGCGACGTCTCCCTGAGCCGGGCCCTCTGCCCACAGTCCCCCTCACTCTCGCCAGCCACTCAGCGCTCTCGGCTCTGGTGTTACGTGCAGCAGGGCCAGCGTCTACTCCCCAGCTCCGGCCCTGCAGCTCCCAGCTGCAGCTCAGCCCTGGCTCCCTGTCGGCGGCTGGCCTGCATTGCCCCAGCCCCCGGCCCTATCCCCAGCCCAGCTCCGGGCTCCTCCAGCCCCAGCCCCCGGCTCTGCCGCCAGCCCACCTCTGGGCTCCTCTAGCTCCAGCCCCCAGCTCTGCCCCCAGCCCAGCTCCGGGCTCCTCCAGCTCCAGTCCCTGGCTCTGCCCCCAGCCCAGCTCTGGGCTCCTCCAGCTCCAGCCCCCGGCTCTGCCCCCAGCCCAGCTCCGGGCTCCTCCAGCCCCAGCCCCCGGCTCTGCCGCCAGCCCACCTCTGGGCTCCTCTAGCTCGAGCCCCTGGCTCTGCCCCCAGCCCAGCTCTGGGCTCCTCCAGCTCCAGCCCCCGGCTCTGCCCCCAGCCCAGCTCCAGGCTCCTCCCGCTCCAGCCCCTGGCTCTGCCCCCAGCCCAGCTCCGGGCTCCTCCAGCTCCAGCCCCCGGCTCTGCCCCCAGCCCAGCTCTGGGCTCCTCCAGCTCCAACCCCCGCCTCTGCCCCCAGCCCAGCTCCGGGCTCCTCCAGCCCCAGCCCCCGGCTCTGCCGCCAGCCCACCTCTGGGCTCCTCTAGCTCGAGCCCCTGGCTCTGCCCCCAGCCCAGCTCCGGGCTCCTCCAGCTCCAGCCCCCGGCTCTGCCCCCAGCCCAGCTCCAGGCTCCTCCCGCTCCAGCCCCCGGCTCTGCCCCCAGCCCAGCTCCGGGCTCCTCCAGCTCCAGCCCCCGGCTCTGCCCCCAGCCCAGCTCCGGGCTCCTCCAGCTCCAACCCCCGCCTCTGCCCCCAGCCCAGCTCCGGGCTCCTCCAGCTCCAGCCCCCGGCTCTGCCCCCAGCCCAGCTCCGGGCTCCTCCAGCTCCAACCCCCGCCTCTGCCCCCAGCCCAGCTCCGGGCTCCTCCAGCTCCAGCCCCCGGCTCTGCCCCCAGCCCAGCTCCGGGCTCCTCCAGCTCCAGCCCCCGGCTCTGCCCCCAGCCCAGCTCCGGGCTCCTCCAGCTCCAGCCCCCGGCTCTGCCCCCAGCCCAGCTCCGGGCTCCTCCAGCTCCAGCCCCTGACTCTACCGTCAGAACCCCAGTAAGTGTCAGGAAGGGGCCAGCAGCCCCCTCACAGGCATGACAATGTCTTTCCTATCGCAGCACCTCCACGGGTGTGGTTCTTTCTGTGACTTCCTGCTGTTTATACTCTAGGTGGACAAGTCAGGTTACTTTCGAGTTATATTTTACAGCCGAGCCACACGCAGCAGCCCTGAAGAGCAGAAGCAGTAACAACAATCCAACGGCTTTTACATAAAAACACCACCTTACAAAATGGCTGCCGTCGTCGAGGTCGGCAGTGAGCCAGCTGTGAGTTTCCAGGCTCGGATCCCAGTGTGGGTTATGATTTTTCTCTTCCATCAGCCACTGCATCCTGATCTGGTTGTGATTCCTTGACTGAAACTTCACTTGGGCATAAACCCTTTGACCCTGTTTGACAACATTTCGTACCATTAGTTACCTCCATGCAAGGTCAGATAACTGTTGGAGTTTGACACAGGTGGTTTCAAACAGGTTACTAAGCTTTACTGAATGCTCCTCTTGAAAACGGTGTACGTTATTAGCACACAAACGATTGTGGAAACCTTGCTTTGAGAGTTCAGCACATAGCTGAAAAAAGAGTTGAGGATTCAGAGACTTTGTAATGCACCTTTTAACTCCTCTGAGGCTGCAGTTCTCCCTCCTTTACCGTATTCCCAAAACAGACAGAATGGGCCAAATTCATCCAGGGTGTAAATCCAGCTCCAGGAGAATTACAGTGGCGAATGGTCTGCGTCCTGAATTCACTCCTTTTGCACAACCAGCAAACAGTAGTGTTATGCTAAGAGGTACTTGTGACAGTTTGGATTACAAACCTCTGCGATTAGGTGTGAAAGCACCCTTCAATTAATGTAGCTCTTGGACTGAATTAATCAGAATGCCCCCACCTACGGCAAAAGGGAGTTATGAAACCACACTGACTAAGTGGGCAGAGGGGGTTTGCTGAATATTGCTTGTGTGGGGGGTGTGCAGGGAAAACACACAGACACTGAGAACAGACAAGAACAGAGAGGCAGAGGCAAAGAGCAGGAAAGCCAGGCAGGAGCCTGTGAGTAGCATGATCCTGGAAAAAGCTAGAGAGAGAGATATTTTGGGCCCAGTGTTGGCTGAAGAGGCTTGGGGATGTTAGCTAAGAAACTTCCCCTTTTGTTTTTGGTTCCTCATGCATTTGAGAAGCAGGACTTTGATGCAATCTTGTTTATTTACAAGGAATGAACAAAGAAAACAGGAGAGTCCATCAATTTCTAGTTCCAGCTGGAGCCCGAAGGCCCTGAAATTTGACTGGCCGCTTGAGTCAAAGAGTGGCAACAGGCCCGTTAGCGCAACTACTTCACCCCCTACATGTGTTTTCTGACCAATTTACACCCAGAGCCAGATTATCCTGCCACTTCATGGGGAGCTGTGCATGGGG